TTCAATAACAATGCAATTTAATAATTTACACATTTTTAAGCTAGTTGCACAATTAAAAATACATACTTATGAAAGACAAAGTAAATTAATTTTATGAAGAAAGATAACACGGAAATTAAATAAATATATGCTGTCAAAGTAAATAAACAAAGCAACGTTCAAGTAAAGCCATAATTTAATAATCTTAGAACGCATTTATATTTCATTAGACTTTAAAAACAAAGTAAGTAAGTAAAGCAAAAAATAAGCCTTCAAACCGTTCAAGCCGGTCGTTTCATCATGTCAGTTGGAAGCTGCTATGTGAGTCCATCATTAACTGAAATCTCGGCAATCATTCATCATCAACTGTGATTTGACCAGCAGTTAACCTGCCAGAAGGCGAACTCCCGATGTAGGTGGTTATTACGAGTAAAAAAACTAGCATTATGAGTGGTCAGTTTCAAATATCGAACTCTTGAATATTGAAATTATGAAGTGTAAGTTTTGTAATACCAGAATAAAATTTAGGAAGTTTCTTTTAGTTACTTTATTATGAAATTTGAATAGGGTTTTCTTTCTTCTGTTTATACCTCTAGTTTCAATATTGATAAATGTAGTTGTTCAAAAAATATGTTTTGAACAACTACAAAAATCATTAATATTTGCCAAATTCTAACGACTAAGTCTACAGGTGTTATGTTCAGTATTACTAGATACATCAACGTCATTATCTCCTTCTAGTAGCTATTTTACAACATGAATGCGAATAAACACATGATCACGACCCAAAAACAACTCAACATATTTAAAAAAATCTCCAAAAATAGCGATTTCATTTGTAATAATTAAGAAAGGATAACGAGACATTATTAATGTTCAGAAAATTATATCTACCCAATTATGAGAAAATATACGATAGCTATACGTTTTAAGCATAACCACTTTTTTGAAAAGAATACATCTTCTTATTTTACATAATTTTCGACACGCAATTTCAACCTTTGAGCAAAACCGGTAGCCGTATAAGAGAAAAAAGTCGTATTTTGGTTTCCTCTAAACACATGTCGAGGATATCCGGTGCGCGAAGACAGAGGGTTATTATACGAGAAGTAATATATAGCTTTTGCTAGCTTTGTAATAACCTGCTATTAATATCAAGTGTTATAACTGTAAAGCTACTTTATCATTATTCATAATTCAAGATACGCTTAAAATTATAAATAATTACAAGTAGAGTATTAACCATAAATAGGTTCCATTTACAAAAAGCAAATAAAATTTTAATTTTAATGAGATAACTTTTAGTTACAAGTTGATAAACAACTTAATATAAATTCAACTGCAGAATTATTAGTTGAGTCAGAGCGCAGTCATTCAGAGAAAGAAACCTGTTATTAAACAGCATTAAAAAGACTGAAATGAACGGAAGTACAAAACGTGTTGTAATTTCAAGTTAAGCTTTGACAGGGTTTCATTCTTTTTATCTTATTATTATTATTAACTTACATTTATACCCATTCGATTAGGTGCCTTTTTTATAATGAGGCTTATTTTTGCTTATTTTGAGTCCAATATTGTTGTTACAATGATCAGAGATCACAAATAAAAGGATTTAAATATAATTATATATTTTGAGGATAGTGTTCGGTCTCAGTATGATTTTATAATAATCTATTTTATTTAATGGCGCGTATAGTCATTCGGCTGTACCAAATACAACACTAAAAACTCCACTGAAATAGTGTACAGAGTCAGTGATATCGGTTTTCATAGCGAATTTTATAATTTTTTATTTCTACCTGATATTATTAGAATTATCTGAAAAAGGAATTTTATTGAAATACTGTTACATAAGACATCTAAAACAGAGAAAGGTGGTGTTTTATTGAGATCATATTCAGTGTTTTATTATGGACTGTTTTATTATTGACCGATGGATGTTGATTTAGTTTGGTTTGGATGTTTCAAGCGTTTATCCAATTTAGTTTTTTTTTTATTTCATCTAAACAATAAATAATATAATTTCCTTCTGTACATCATCAACATGAGTTCTCAAAGGGAGTCCGTAAGCATTTAACTGCGTTAATTATTTTTATTCATACAGTTTATGAAAGAGAGACATTTAACTAATAAACAGTTAATCAAGTTCATGACATGAATTAACCGGTCACGACATGTCTTTAGAATTCAAGATGTTACAAAATATATTGTACAAGTATGAGTCACTAACGTCTAAGAATAATGTGTTTGTTTGTAACTTGCTGATTTATTACACGATTGCACAATGTGAAGCTAGCTGAATACCTAATTTCCTAACTACGCGTTCTAAAGAGAACTCGAGGTTCCTTTGGTCTTATAATCTAAACTAATCCAAATCATTATCACGACAAACTTCCAAAAACGTGTCTTATGCAGTCTTACAAGTTTAATATTATGACGTTATTTTTTATTAAGTCAGTAAATTTTAATCCACATTCTGCGATAGTTATTTTAAAATCGGGACTTTTTCACTGTGAAGGATTTTCTACCGCCTAACCGTTACGTTTTTAAAAGTATTCGCGCTATCATATTTTTTTTATTTAGAACAGAGAGACCGACTACGTCACCAATTATAGCCCTACAGTAAACCAAAAGGATTTGGATCTATTTAAGACCACCGATGTAAGCGTCTTGGTTTTTCTCAACATCTTATTTTTAAATATCCAACTTGGTAGGAGCCGAGTAGGAATGCAAACGATTTCACCTTTGTGACCTAGAAAACACTGTAAGCATATTTGTAAATATAAACAGCTAATACAAAGTCGAATAGGTTTTCTGACAAGTAATATTGTACAATAGTTTATAATACCAAATTACGTGATTTAACAATTTTAAATTTTAATTATTATTTATTTACTTTTAGGTCGATGCCTAGTATTTTACATGTTAAAATTTTGTTAATATTTATCAACTGCTACACAGTTAGTTGCATATTGTTAGGTAACACGTTACCGTTCACTCTGTGAACGAGGCTCCAAAGAGATCCTTGTTATCATTAGCACCTCAACCACTCCCACGGCATACTTCCGAATACATTCCGATCCTGGGAAAAGTTCTGTTTGACCTTAGATCTTTTTTTTTTAATTTAATCAGTTGTAGGGGTCGAGGTCGTAACATACATTTTTTTAAGTAAGATTGACACTAATAAACAAAGATTAATAGTAAGTTTTTTTTTTAATCAAATTAACATAAAACTGGATAAACTAAACATATTATATGAATGTTATTTTCAGTACACACATTCAATAGCACGTCAGTTATACAAATCGTAATATTTTACTAAAACATTAATATTTTATTAAATATGAATGTTTTGAGCGTAGAGTTCAAAATCGAAGGAGAAATTTGACATAACCTAGGGCTCGATTCTGACAATGTTAAATTATAATCGCACGTCAGTGACATTTCAATAGCATATTTTGCATTACAAAATAATAAAATAATATTTATCGGTTCATCAAGATGCTATACTATGTAATAATAATTGAAGTTATGAGAATAAATTAGGACTGGGAACATTTAATTACTGAAACGCCGTTGTAGTGCCATTCCTTCCTCAACATTAGCAGAATCACTCTGACGTGCGGCCGTGTATAACCTACCTTACCTATCGATTTAAACAAAATTAAATCTATCAACATAATTGAATAACTATTTTAAGTAGCCTATTACGGAATGGAGGATCGTTAACAATTTCATTTTATATATAGGCCCTGAAAACAATGAACATACATAGATTAATTATTCCTTTGTATTATCGTATCTCAAGACAGATCCACGGAATACGTCTGTACTTCGAAAACATATTATATGGAAATATCTGAGTTTGTTTTGTAATTGTTTGTCATTGGTCTTTCCTCACACACCTAGTCAGTTATCCATCTATTGTCTTTTCATTTAGTTTGGGACCAACCAACAAAGTTATTGATGAGTCACCATTTCTTATTTTTACTAATTAGAACCCCTAATAAGAACTACCATCATATTTATGTAACTATAAGGATATGTACCTATTTGTAATAGGTATTTTAACTTAATTAATCTATTGGGTTACCCTTTGTAGGGTTTATGTCGATAATTTTCAATTTTTATCCAATAGTATCAAAATTGATGAACACCCTACCATAGCTCGCAGGAAGTGAATGTTTAGCTTATCTAGATGGTGAGACAAGATCATCACCATAATTTACCAGTTTAGTAACTAGTTTCTTTTTATAAAACAGTCTGTCTTTTAAAAAAATTTAACCAGTGGCGACTAAAATCACAAAAACAGAATTATCGTTAGGTGATTTTAGTTATATAACGCTAGCAACTTTGTTTGTGTAGGCATAATATGTAATTATTTTCATAATATTTTAATTTCTTGTGCTGCTTCCTGCTAGCTGGTAATATCAACTAGTAGAAAGTATTCATGAAGAATCCTAATAAAATAAGTTCTTAGTAAGATAACCTTGCACAATGGGATGAAATTTAAATTAAGCAATATAAATACTTATAAGGTAAAATGTGACATTATGATCATATTATTATAATATCAATAAACAGTATCCTAGAACAGCTCGAGGATCCTTCGTCATTCATTACAAATGCCCAAGTGTCAATGTCAATGACCCCTCGCGATGTTATGTAGTAATAATACCTACAGCAATGAATTTATATATTTTTTATTTTATTTTTTAAATAGTAACCATAACTATACTTATAAGATTTACAAATTTGGGACCCTTCTCTGAGGTAACTCATTATTTTATAAAAATAATAAAATAAGCTTGTAGGTTTGTCTATAAAAAGAAATTGGAATCCAAAGTAACCAAAACAACAATTAATTACTCTACTTTTTACTACAACAATCCTGAAAGCAACAATCTTATTAATTCAGTTAAACTTGATTTAAAAACCTAAGAATCCCTGCCCGTCGGATAAAATCAGTGTCGGCCGCCCGGCGAAGCATGCGAAAAAATACAAAACAAAAATATACTCACTGGCAAATTCGTTGCACAAATTCAACGGTCACTAGTTAATAATTCAGTCACTAATTATTATTATACAGTAAAGTATGAATATAACAATAAGCGATTTGGCACAAAATAAGTCACTTGTTTTTATTTACGTTCGTTCGTTTGACAGTTCACAGAATACGCGCATGCGCGATAACGCACTCACTCAAATGACGACTCGCGCAAGACTGGCGGATGGATTAATGAATGAACGGGGACGGACGAGGCGAGGAGCTATGGAAACGAATAGATTCGACTTAAAGAAAAAGAGCAAGCGAGAAAGAAATATCGCGTGCGGGAGCGAACGGAAAGACATATAGAATGAATGAGTGAACAATTAGCAGGTTGCCTATATTGCTTTACTTAAAAGTATATTTCATGTTATCCATAAAAATAAATAAATAAATATGCAGTAAGTAAAATATGGAAAAAACGTAATAATTATGTGTGTGTGTGAACTTAGGAGTATATTTAGTAGAAAAGTCATTCGGACCCCGAATTGAAAATTTTTGGCAAAACTGTGAAACAATTTAAAGTTGCATTTGAAATTGTATTAGTTTTAATCATTTCTAACATTTTTCGTTCTCATAAAAATTACAAGGATTTTGATTCGTATAAATAAACATAAGTAGGTAGGTACTAAATATAGTATTTGACAACATCGCATACATTACTCAGATTCCATCCAAGATGAGTAAAAGCCTCCGTATCATGGAGTATATGAGATAACGAAGATATGATGGATAACACGCAGACCCGAGACTATATAAAAAAGTCCATTTTCTACATTGACTGACCAAAAATCGAATCCAGGACCTCAGAGATGGGTCAATCATTTGGTATAGGGTTCCATATTATAAAAGTAGGTACCTTAAGGTTCTACTTAAGTTAAAGCTTAAACTATAAGGTCTAGATTAGACCTTCATCCTCGATTTAGACAACACTTTTTTACTGTGTACACATACAGTGATATATTAAGTTATTACTTTTTATACATATAGTCTTAAGAAGAAAAAAATGAAATAAAAGTAGCTTTAAATTTATTTAAGATAAAAACTTTTTATAAAATGTAGAAACGAGTTCAAACTTTAAAAAAATATCTCAAAAGCGACTTATTCAAGAAAATGAATGTTATTGAAGTGGTTTCCTGTGGGTTATTATTTATTAATTAAATGATAGGCGCTCGAATTTATTTTCTTGAAAAGTCGCTTTTGAGATAGATATTATTTATCACTTTTTTAAGTTTGAAGTCGGTTCTACTTTTTATAAAGAGTTTTTGTTTCATGCTTTTTAGTGATATTGGTATTTTTATATAATAGGCAACACTAAAAATATTAAATATGTATGTAAATAAAAATATTTGACATGGTGAAAGTTTTCGAATAGGAGATTTTGTTTATTTGCTCTACATTTGTATTTTTTTCCAATAATCTATATTCATATTTTAAAGAGGAAAGATTTATTACTTCTTTATTTTATAAAAGTCTATCTACGGGATGATACATAATACGCGACGGACATAGGATATAATTTACGCAGACGGTGTCGCAGTGAAACAACTAGTTGGATAGAAATTGTATCACAATTCAAGAATAAATCGATGAACACGGGAAGATACATAATACGCGACGGACATAGGATATAATTTACGCAGACGGTGTCGCAGTGAAACAACTAGTTGGATAGAAATTGTATTCAAGAAGAAGTCGATGAACAAACCTTCCCCTACATATATATACTCGTACTTTACTTATTGGTACCTAATATTAGGCGTACATATGTAATTGGCGTTTTATCGTACTGGCCACTTTAATCACAAATTTCTCCTCCTTGGTTGGGAATTCCAAATTCAAATTTATACAGCCATTTACACATGTATTTGTGTTTCGTTAGGCGGCATTGATTTGTTTTTTTTTTTACTTCTGTTTGTCCTATTTACGTTACCCAGTATAAAAAATGGAAAACTTGAAATATCGTGTTATTTACGAGTACGAGTTCCACCGTGGTACCAGTGCTGCGGAAACGGCTCGAAGGGTTAATTATGTGTATGGCGGTTGTGTCGCAAAAGAAAACACAGTGCGTTTTTGGTTCTAACGTTTTCGTTCTGGAAATTCGCCTGCAGAAAACCCGTGGACCCAAGTTAATAATGAAGAATTGAAGGCTATTGTGGAAGCGGATCCATCGCACACCACGTCCGAGTTAGCTGCAGGCTGTGGTGTTAGTGATACAACTGTTTTAATCCACTTGAAGCAAATTGGAAAGATTAAAAATCTCACGAATTGAGTGAAGCAAACCGGCAAACGCGCTTTGACTGCTGCGTTACGTTATTTAACCGACATAATAATGAAGGGTTTTTAAATCAAATCATTACCTGTGATTAAAAGTGGATTCTCTACGATAATTGGAAGCGCTCATAGCAATCGTTGGACCCTGGCATGCCAGCCAAATCCTGCCCCAAGCGAAAATTAACCCCAAAAAAGTTACTTGTAAGCGTTTGGTAGATTAGTGCCGGTATCGTTCATTAAAGTTTTCTCAAATCTGGCCAGACGATCACGGCAGAAGTCTGCTGTCAGTAATTGCAAACCATGCTGGAAAAACGAGCTGTTAACCGAGGCTGGTCAATTGATCTATGCCACTGCTACTTCACGACAACGCTAGACCACACACTGCACAACAGACGACTACCAAATTAAAAGAGCTTCAATTGGAATGTCTAAGACATCCACCGTACTCCCCGGACATTGCTCCAACAGATTACCATTTTTTTCGAAATTTGGATAACTTCTACCAACGGAAAAAAATCAACTCCGATGGGGCAGTGCAAATCGCCTTCAAAGATTTTAATGATTCCCGGCCGAATGGTTTTTTTTTAATAAGGGAATCAATGAACTACCTATGAGATGGCAAAAGTGCATAGATCACATTGGTTTTTACTTTGATTAAATTAAAAAATATTATAAAAATAAAAATATTAAAATTATATTAAAAAATGTTCGGCTTTTTGTTCCTCCCATACTAAACACCAATTTCATATGTAAGGACCTAATATAATATCTATGACTCATAAAAAATATACATAAAAGAGTAAAGAATACAGCCTCGTTGAACATAGAAAATCTTCGTATCAGAATTTGAACGAATTCCTTATACGCCATCTTTTGATTTTTTCGCTGAAATGGGCTATGTCATAAGTTCGTAACACAGAACACAGAAAGACGTCGTGTTCTTTGGTTCGTAAAATATCGTCTTAATATTTAAGTGATATCCGTTGGAAACCGTATTTTGTTTTGTTATAAACGGGAAACAACTTATCTATAATATATAAAGCTTAATTACCACTGACTGACTGACTGACTCACTCCATGCTTTTTTCGGGTAGAAAGAGGGGGAAAATGACATTTTCATGTATGGAGACTGATAATATTTTTTTAAAATGAGTTGAAATGGCATATCGGTTCAGCCAAAAAACAAAATGGCGGCGAGATAATTTTTTTAATTTCTACATTATACACTCTATGATTACGATATTCAAAATGGTCATAGATTTGGCTAAAAAAATGACACTGAAAAAAGGTTTGATTAAAAAAACAAAATGGCGGCCGAGATATTTTACCTCGAAAATTGACATTTTTCGACCTCTGTTCGGGCAATCGTCAATTGTTTTTTTGTGGTTTGGAGGGGGGATTTTTACGTCGGCCACTCGGAATTATAGTCGATTTTTACGTACGGGGAGTTTTCATTTGCGCGTCAACATGGCGGCGGCGGGGGCGGCCATTTTGTTTCGGCAATGAAAAATCGCCATTTTCCAGTGAGATTTTCTCCAAGATGGCGGCGTCGGACGGATTCGCGTTCTATAGGCCGGTCGTGGGGCTCGGTAGGATCTTTCCATATTAGTACTAATTTCTACCAATTTCGTGGTAGTTTATGAGATTTTGGGAGAAAAGTGAAATTTCGAAATACGCACTTTTCGCGGAAAACAGACTCAGTGCGGTGTGGTGCCGCGGGAGCCCTATGACTTTTGGTAGTTTTCGTTTCCGCAGCTGACAACCCTGGGCTCCACGGTAGAAAACGTGTTTTTCGACATGCCCTCATAACCCGAATTGTTTGGGAACCTGGGTGGCCAGCGGAGAAAATCTGTGAATGAGGTGTCGCGCCAAATAGTCGTGACTATGGGAAAATTGTGAAACTCGGGAAAATCAATATGGCGGCGCCGGCAGCGGCCATTTTGTGATTTTTTCACTTTTTCGAAAAATTCAAACGCACTTTTAGCCTACATGGCAACATTGTAGCTCTTCGCCTGGTATGGACTGGTCGTGAGTCTCCGCTGGCTCTTTCGAATGACGTGAAAATTTTTCCCCGATTTTAGGGTAATTTCGGAGATTTACCCCAAAAAGGTGAAAAGTAGAAGGAGCCGTTTGGGAATTTTAAAAATGAATTTCCTCGACGGAGGGCACTCCCCAAAATGACATTTGGACATTTTCATCGTCGTCACCTGGCAACCCTGGTAGAGCGGCGATTTGAAAAATTTTGCCCATTTTTTACTTTGTCGACTCTAGCGCGGTCAGTATTGCCACTAGGAAAATGATTAAAACTTCATCAGATGCGCTATCGAGTTGGCCACACCGGTACGGAGCCGGATTTTCAAAATTCAAGATGGCGGCCAAACCAGCATCCATTTTATCCGAAAAATTGGGTATCGTCACCACGTCGAGCCGATTTTGACGCACTTGGCGACATTTGTCAGACTACTTCCGGGGAAACAATTTTTAGGCAAGTAGCTGAGGTATTGCCAAGTGAAAAAAAATCTTGAAAATTTTTGATACTTTATGAGATTTTTGGGGAAACACTTTTTGTCGAATTTTGAATTTTTTTCGATGCAAATATTTTAATTTTAACTTTTCAAGTTACCCGATGGAAAAAATAGAACGATCGACTGGCAACACTGAGAGCAAACAACGTTTGAAATTCAACCTCGATTTTGACCGACTTGGCAACCCCGTAGGTATTCGGCATGTATGGAGCGATTGTGTATCTCTATAGAATCTTTCATATGGTGGAAAAAAATTACCCGATTTTAGGGTAGTTTTTGAGATTTACCCAAAAAACTATAACTGTCAAAGGAATACTTTTAGAACTTGAAAATTGGCATCCGTCGATGGAGGGCACATCCTGAAATCACATTTGACTATT